TAAGCTGCCGCTGCCCCCCGCTCCCCTGGTTGCAAGTCTCGTGGGGTCCCTTAGAGGGGAGGAAGGAGCAATGGCCCGGGCATGCTCCCCTGGGGGGAAGGGGGCACTGGGTCCTTTGCATTGAGGGTATTTATCTCTCTCTTGCACGTGGGGAATCTCAGGGGAGGGACTTAATAGAATATTCATCAGCTTGAAATAATCCTCATGAATAAAGGAATAGGCGATAGACTCTCTGTCCTCTCCCGCTTGCTCTTTGCTTTACTGCAAATATTTAAACATTTATGGAGCATTTACTGCTTTCCCAAACTATGCACTAAATGCTGGGGTTTCTCACAAGAAACTACCAAAATCTGAGGGATCCCTGGCACCTCCAATGGCAAACGGAGTGGGACCCCTCTCTCTGCCTTCCAGACCTTCGGATGCAAAGACCATCGATCGCTTCATTCGTCCCCTCTCCCGGCCTCCCCAGCAGGGCCCCCCAGCCCGCACTGCGCATGCTCACTCTGCGGTCCCACGTTCGAGTTCAAGCGCCGCTTCTCCCCCCCCGCGACTGTGCGTGAGCACGTCCGAGATAAACTGAGCCTGGACATTTACTAGGTGTATCGGTTAATAACACGGATTTTGTAATGAAAGAAAAAATGATAACTTCAAAGAGAAACATCGAAAGTGCTTTATTCAGCCCTGACTGGTTTCTCTCAGTGGATAGAGCGTCGGCCTGCGGACGGAAAGGTCCTGGGTTCGATTCCGGTCAAGGGCATGTACCTGGGTTGCGGGCACATCCCCAGTGGGAGATGTGCAGGAGGCAGCTGATCGATTTCTCTCTCCCTTCTTCTCTGTAAAAAATCAATAAAATATGTATTTAAAAAAATTAAATTTCGCCAAAACTGGTGTGGCTCAGTGGATAGAGCGTCGGCCTGCGGACGGAAAGGTCCTGGGTTCGATTCCGGTCAAGGGCATGTACCTGGGTTGCGGGCACATCCCCAGTGGGAGATGTGCAGGAGGCAGCTGATCGATGTTTCTCTCTCATCGATGTTTCTAACTCTCGTTCCCTCTCCCTTCCTCTCTGTAAAAAATCAGTAAAATATATTTTAAAAAAAATTAAATTTCCCTTAAAGAACCCGAATACGGGCCTCCGTCGCTGCCACCGCGATAGCCCCGTCACCTCCCGGCCTCCGCGCTTTGCACGCCGATGCCGCCTGTGCTGTCGCAAACTTGTCAGACTCTCTCTGGCTCCAGAAATGTTGGTTGCTCTCTATTATTTGCAGAATCAAACCCAAATCCCTGCACCTGGCATTTAATGTCTTGCATAGATTATCCCCAGCCTGTCTTTCCAGCCTTCCTACTCACTGCGCCCCTCTTTACACTCTGTCCTCATTTCCCCCAAATCAGTGTCTCGGGGCCCCCTGTGCCGTCGTCCTCCCAGGGACGGACACCGACACCGTCAGTTTATCCACATTGAGTCTCTGACCCCCGGTTCCCGCTGCCCGCTGCGGGGAAGATGTGGACGTGTTTCTTTCTTCAGCCTAATTGCTCGTCTCCTTGGTTTTTATACCATTTAATTGGCCGTTGCGTTTACAGTGCAGCTTGTTTATTCTTTTACCAGATCTTACTTCGTATTATAATACACATTCTTGTCTATATGTTTGGGGTTTTTTTACATATATATATTTCTTTATTGATTTCAGAGAGGAAGGGAGAGAGAGATAGAAACATCAGTGATGAGAGAGAATCATCGATCGGCTGCCTCCTGCACGCCCCACACTGGGGATCGAGCCTGCAACCCAGGCACGTGCCCTGACCAGAATCGAACCCAGGACCCTTCAGCCTGAAGTGTGACGCTCTATCCACTGAGCCAAACCAACTAGGGCACTATTTGTAATAATTTATTATATATTTGACATACTGTTTTTTTTTTAATATATTTTATTGATTTTTTACAGAGAGGAAGGGAGAGAGATAGAGAGTTAGAAACATCGATGAGAGAGAAACATCGATCAGCTGCCTCCTGCACATCTCCTACTGGGGATGTGCCCGCAACCCAGGTACATGCCCTTGACCGGAATCGAACCTGGGACCTTTCAATCCACAAGCCGACGCTCTATCCACTGAGCCAAACTGGTTTCGGCAATATTTGACATACTGTTAAATGAGTTTGTTATGGATAGATGCTAGAAAAACATAAAAATGTAGGCAAAACCCTAGCCGGTGTTGCTCAGTGGATAGAGCGGCGGCCTGCGGACCAAAGGGTCCTGGGTTTGATTGCGGTCAAGGGCACGTACCTCGGTTGCAGGCTCCTCCCTGGGTCGGGCCCTAGTCGGGACCCGTGCAGGAGACAAGCAGTCGATGTTTCTCTCTGTCTTTCCCTCTCTCTTCCACTCTCCCTAAAAATCAATGGAAAAATATCCACGGGTGAGAATAAAAAAAAAAAAGAAAAAGAAAAATTAAATTAAAAAAATGTGGGCAAAATGATGAATCCACTTAATTAGAATAAATGTTTTTAGTAAGGACAGTCGAGGGAATTAATTCTCGAGATGCTTTTGTTTGGCTAAGAATCCCCTAACGGGTACAAGTTAGTAGTCCTTAGCCTGTTGCGTATCATCCACTGTGTGTGTTGTCCATAATATCTGTGAAATACACAGTTAAGAGAGAGGGAAGGAGGGAAAAGAAAGAAACGTTTGCTTCTAGAAGTTTCATCAGCCTTGACACGATTGCCTTCCAGTGCCCTGACGTGCAGCGATGGACCAGAAAATTCTGTCTCTCGCAGCAGAAAAGACAACAGACAGACTGCAGGCCTTTCTTCAAACCCTGGAGGAAGACGACGTGAGTTCCGGGAAGCGTGTTCCCCCAAAATCAAAGGTCGTCCTGCCACTCGGTCTACTCCCCACTCTCCTTAGGAGACGAGGATTTGTATGGGTACAGCTCATGGAGGTTAAGAAATGAGGGAGAGAACTGGACAGCTGGAGGGCATTTGTGTACATTTATACAACGACATAACATGCAAATAATATTTCTGCAGCTGTGCGTATTGTGAGCAAATTAGTACACTTTTATGGTTCTTAGAACAATCTAACATGAAGATAATATATGGACTGTAGTTACTAAGGTATTAGATTTGCCTATTGGTGCTCTTGTCTTTCTTCTCTTCCTTCCTTTTTATTTTTCCCTAGAGAAGATAAATTCATAAGCAGTAGCCCTGGCTGGTTTGGCTCAGTGGATAGAGCGTCGAACTGTAGACTGAAGGGTCCCAGATTCGATTCTGGTCAAGGGCACATGCCCGGGCTGTGGGCTTGATCCCTAGTAGGGGGCGTGTAGGAAGCAGCTGATCAGTGATTCTCTCTCATCATTAATGTTTCTATCTCTCTCTACCTCTCCCTTCCTCTCTGAAATCAATAAAAAAAAAAAATATATATATATATATATAAAAAGATTAGCCTACTCTAGCTGAAATCGTCTCCCTTTCCTTAGTTATTGTCTATCTCAGCCTTCGATTTATTCCCTTTACAAATTTTTTTTCCAAAATTTTTTCTGTCACCCTTTTCCCTCCTGCTCTACTGTAACTCTTTGAGTCAAATGATCATGGCCACCTTGTTCATCCTTGTATCCCTAGTGCCTAGGGAAAAAAATGCTCAAAATATCTGTTGAATGTGTAGCCCAATAACATAGCTCAGTACCTAGTGCTGACTGAGTGCTCTATGTATGTTTGTAGTATTGAAACCAGACACAGTGGGTCCGAGATCACCTGTCACTACTTCAGCCAAATTAAGCAGAGACAGGGTTGGCTCATGCGCGTTTTTTTTTGTTTGTTTTGTTTTAATATATATTTTATTGATTTTTTACAGAGCGGAAGGGAGAGAGATAGAGAGCTAGAAACATCGATGAGAGAGAAACATCGATCAACTGCCTCCTGCACACCTCCCTACTGGGGATGTGCCCGCAACCCAGGTACATTCCCTTGACCGGAATCAAACCCGGGACCTTTCAGTCTGCAGGCCGACACTCTAGCCACTGAGCCAAACCGGTTTCGGCCATATGTGCGTTTATTCCAATAATGCCTGCAGTATCGGGAAGCAGTTGATCACCCTGGAAATTCTGCTCTGACCCCCTCGCCAGTTGGCTGGTTATACACACCAGGGAGAAGATAGCTACGTGCAGCTGTGAGCTGCAAGTGTAACATGGGAAGGGGAGGGGAGGGTCTGCAGTCCAGCCTTCAGGAGCTCCGAGTCCGATAACAAGGTGGCTAATCTATGGTGTTAGAAACGGCTCAGCCTGTGCCTGGGACCGGAGAATGGTTAGCGTTCCTGAGAAAAACTCCCGGAGGGGGTCAGGGTCCGGGCACAGCAACCAAGTCAAAGTGTGTCCTGTCCGTGGCCTGTTCCCAAACTGTGTTTCTTTTCTGAGTCATGGATCCATGGAGGCATCTTACCTTTTTACAGCCCTGTTTCATCCCCTGGTCTCCCAGGGTCTGTAAGAAAACTTGTCTGTAGTTAGGGAGGTGAATAATTATTAGACAACTGTGGCTCTGTTCTCATTACATGCCCTTCCCACTATCAGTATGAATAAAGTTCAGTCTTTTTATTATTATTGACTTAAGAGAGGAAGGAAGAGGGGGAGAGAGAGAGAAACATGGATGATGAGAGAGAATCATGGATCGGCTGTCTCCTGCATGTCCTCTTACTGGGGATTGAGCCCAAAACCTGGGCATGTGCCCTTGACTGGAATCAAACCCGGGGACGCTCTAACCGGCTTGGCTCAGTGGACAGAGTGTCAGCCTGCGGACTCAAGGGTCCCAGGTTCAATTCCGGTCAAGGGCATGTATCTTGGTTGCGGGCACATCCCCAGTAGGGGGTGTGCAGGAGGCAGCTGATCGATGTTTCTTTCTCATCGATGTTTCTAACTCTATCCCTCTCCCTTCCTCTCTGTAAAAAATCAAAATCAATAATATATAAAAAAAAACTTAAAAAACAAGAACCTGGGACCCTTCAGTCCACAGGCCAGCGCTCTACCCAGCGTCATGTTAAGTCTCCCCTGGTCTACCTAAATGAACGTGTCCTTTCTAACTCCTGGAGCGTCAGAAGGACTTGAACCTGACAGATGAATTCTTTCATATTGGGAGGTTAGGGCGTTGGGGTCAAGAAGTTGTTGCCAGAGACTTGTAGTCTTTTTTCTCTCTGATCGCAGCTCGCGACTCTCCTTCAGAGCCAGGCGGTGAAAGGCAGAGCAGTTGGAGCCCTCCTGAGAGCCGTCTTCCGAGGTAACGGTAACGGATGCCCTCCTGGCTCCGTTGGTAGAGCTGTTTGCTTGGGGCGCATGTT